GACCATCTGAACAATGAGGACCTGCTCAAGCCCAACACTGTCGCCGACATGGTGGAGCTTGCTCGGGCTATTCAGGCTCGCGACTACGAGACGGCTAAGACTATCCACATTGATATCATGACGAACAGGACGGAGGAATGCGGTAACTGGATGGTATGCCAAATTCTGATCCCACACCGCTCAAATTGACTTCTGCTAACTTTGGGGCACTAGGTTGGTGTCAAGCGTCTGATTAGCATGAGCCGGGCCACGCCTTGATGAGTTGACTACTGAGAATGTCGCATGCAATATGGTTATGAGTTGTTTGTATAGTGGTTGGCGTTGTCGCCGTCTCACCTAGCTAGTTGTGGATTTTCCGCGCTAGCCTGAATTTGGTCAGGAAATCTTCTTCACACGTCTATGTTATCGTGATGTTTCCGCGAGTTCTTATCCGCCGTATTACTATAGTCCAAGAGAGCACGAAGAGGAAAGTAAAAATGACTTAGACTTTGGCCTTCAGCTAGAAGATTGCTCCACGGGGAACACTCTTTTCAACCAACTCGAATTTAAAATTGTTAGACTTTATAGATATACACTGCCACACAGCACGCAAATGAGTGGCTGTCTTTGCTTGGATCGATAAGAAACGTCAACCCAGAATACAGATTCCAAGAATTGCCCATCCTCTTCTAGAATATATACATCGACCTTCACCTGCCAGACAGGATCCCCGAGCCAGTTCTTCCCCGGCTGGCGGGAAAATTTCGAGCACTCAGCAATGCACCCTTCACACCTCTAATGTCAGCCCGGAAGCTGGCCATTGCGTCCTCCTCGGCTTTGCTGATGCCCGCCGAAGGGCCGGACGTGGTCTCCACTCCAGGGGTGCTGTATACCCCATACCCCGTGACAGAACTATAGCTGGACCTGCTGTAGAGCAAGCCATCGAGGTAATGGTGTAGTTCGTTCAACCGGGTACGCACGGAGTCGTCCAGCGCACCTGATTCGTTCTCGGAGGAGGCGACTTCACGGAGATGCGAGGTGATGTTCTCGAGCCGCTTGAGGTGCGTGTTCACTGTTGTGGTAGGGTCGGGGGCCGCCTCGTCGGCGGACTGCTGGTCTGTAGTGCCCGGGAGGGCGCTTGTGTCCAGATCCTGGGAGGTCTGGGTTGCGACGTCCCGGTGAAAGAGCTCTGTTGGGTCGGAGGTGATGGAGTCCTCGTCGTCTTCGGAGTCGGTGGGCTCGGTTTGTTTTGCGTCCTTTGCGGAGAGATGGGGCGGAATGCGTGAGACATTCTGCTCGAGTTTCTCGTTGAGTTTTTGGAGGTTGGTGTTGGCGGTTTGGGCGAGTTCGAGGCGGGCGCTGGTGAGGGTGGCGAGCATTGGTTTAACGAGGTATTCGCTTGCGCCGTAGAGGCTTGCTCCTAGGCCGGCGGCACCGTAGAGAGTGTAGAGAATGCTGCGGAGGGTTACGAGTGGTGGGGGTTTGGTTTGCTGAATGAGGAATTCGGGGTAGGTGATGATGGGTGGGACATCTCGTGGCGCGGAGCTCTTGACGGCGCTTGGAGCAGCGGGTGTGGTAGATGAAGATGCGGAGGATGTTGGTGATGACGAAGATGATTCTTTGGGACTTTGCGACTCGTTGCTGGTGGATGATGTGGTAGAATCCGGGGTAGACTTGTTTCCCTCGGCGCTGCTAATGCTGCTACTGCTTGAGTCCGTATCCCGCGAGATGGACAAGAGACTGTCTATTTCCTCGCTTCGGAGGCCCTTGGACTCTAGAAAAGCTATCTTGCGGTCAATGGGAGCATCGCGTAGGGAGTCATCCTGCAAGAACTTTCTAGCTTGCTCTATGAGCACTGAACGGGGAGTCTCATCGGAGCTCGGCGATGGTGCGGAGGTGGAGGTATCGCCATTGGTGCTGGCAGCGGCAGGTTGCTGCCATTGAGGGATTGAAGGGGGTTTGGATTTGCTATCCGACATGTTGCGCTCCACAAGATGGGGAAAATATCGACTTCAAGAAGAACGTGATGTGACAAAGGAGATAAGGAGGAGAGATTGACATAGAACTCCATGTGAGCGATGGAGATGTCGGCCGTTTCTTTGGGGTCGATTTCCCCAGACCTCGGCTGTACGGTAATGTAATGTAATATATTCATCTTTACGTACTACAGATCACCTGATCATTTAGAGGTGCATTATTCTTGGGCTCTTCATGCTGATATACTGGTATGAATGATATCAAGAGAATTTCATCATCACAAACTTTTGGTCTGAGAGTATTCGAAGAGGCCTCTGTATGTAATTTCAGAAGTAATTCCAAGTGGATGTTCTGGTTAAGAGAGTTATCTCGCAGATGTACAACTGCCAAGAACGCACACCGCTGAGCGGCAGAATGGTGAGGATGAGGAATAAATCAAAGACCGGCGAACAAGAATGGGCATACAGAGTACTCCTGATATCTTCCATTATTAAGAATGCTGCACTTGTAAAAGAGCATACATATCCATCTATTATCAGTGACAAGTGCTTTTTGTCCGCCCTCCACATATATACTTGAGATATAAAAGGGGACTGCCGTCAAGATCATCCTGGACCCCCGTCCATTCCTCTATCATCGAACCATCTATTAGTTCCTTCTGGTCGAGTGAGTATCCGCCCTCTCGTATTGCTCTTATTTCCTGTCACTTCTGCACAATAACCCTGTGACTTGTCGTTGGTGTGTTCTTCGATTCTTGATTGTTTCAGTTGTTCGGGGAAGCCTTGCCACAGTCACTACAAGGATTATACACCCCTGGTATGTGGGTGTGGCGGAGAGAAACAAACGCACAAGCGTTGAAATTCACCGCGTCTGCGATGGGTTCGTTGTCTTAGTCGCTTGTCGCTTTTGCACGGGCATCCTCCATCCCATCCTAGATCGCAACGCCCTAATTGGTCCCCATCCTTGATGCCGGCTTGCGACTTTTAACAGGCGTCAAATGTGTGATAGGCGGTGCTTGCCTGCGTCTACCCGGAATGCATGGCCCTACCTACACATAACTATCTACAATGGCCCACGTATCCATCATCCTATGAATGGATGTTTGCTCGATGACCATCATCTTGAGCTCATCTACCGACCTGTGGATATTATCCCCCATTCACTCGCATCCCCGCTTCACCTGCTAGAATCTTCATAGTCAGGCATCGGCAACTCATTCACCCTGCAAGCTCCTTCCCATCAACTCTCTTAAACTGTGTTCAGTTGTTGCTTAAATCGCATCGCATCGCATCGCTGGGTTTATCACTACAACGATCTTCTCTTCATCATCTTCCTACCCCTCATTCCTGTTCCCCATAACATAATTCCAGAAAAGTCTCCCTTGTTTTCCTTGGCTATGTCAATACGTCGCTCTCTTCGCTCTCGTCCAGCGCGGGATGATCCATCAAGCATTGATTCTGACATCAGTCCAAAGCCTACCAGATCGACACGTGCTGTCCCATCTGCCCCACTAGTAACAGTCACTCGGTCTGTTTCAGGCAGCGCAGAGAAACCCGTCAAATCTCTTTTTCTGACAGTAAGGATGCCTGCGAGCAGGCTTCGCGACGCCACTGGGGGTAGCGCACGGGGTAGCACGTCAACCAGACGCTCCCACAATGTCTTCACTGAAAATCCCATCATCACGGGACCGCGGTCTAGCCGGCCCAAGAAGAAGCTCGTAGAGGTTAGCACAAGTGAGGGGGATGATTTAGAAGACCAAGAGGAGGATGAAGTTGACGAGGATGCACCTGGCGAGGAGGATGTCGATGCGGATGGCGATTTAGACATGGATGATGCGCCACCCCGACCACCAACTTCAAAAAGACACGCCAAGGGTGCTGCCACGTCAACAGGTAAGGCCCTGAAGAGCGTGGAGGAGAAGGAGATGGAAATGGAGGAGGAAGACGACGAAGATGACGAGGAGCTCTCGGAGCTGGAAACGGATGCCGAAGGTGAGCCTGATGACCAGGACGAGAGTGGGCTTGGCAATGGAAATGGAGGAGACGAGGACCTGGATGAAGAGGATGAAGAAGATGAGGAGGAAGATGACAGTGAAGAGATCACACCGGGAGGCGACCTTAGCCGGTTAACCAAGCGGCAGAGAGGAACCCTCGGCAATGACTTTTTGCAGCTCCCTATGGGTGAGTTTCCCTTCTGTAAGTGCTTCGAGTGAAGTGTCACTGCTGACCAAGAAACAGAACCTCAAGTGAAGAAGCACCTAACGGCAGAGGAACGTGCTATGCGTCGTGCTGAAATGGCTCGAAGACGAAAGAATCTCAGCGAGAAGCGGAACGAGGAAGAGAAGGTAAGTTGGGCCGGTGAAGCAGCCCTTCTTGGTCTCGAAATTCCGCTATCCGCTGGCTGTATCATACCGCTAACGCATAAGCACAGATGGATACGATCAATAGGTTGTTACGCAAGCAGGCTCCAAAACGGCGTGGTCGGATTCCAGTTGCTGAAGCGGAAGCCAACGCCGCCGAGCAAGAGGCAGAAGAAGCAGAGAAACCACAGCCGACGATGGTCAGATGGGTGAGTCGCCGCAAGGGCAGTCGTATCGGTGTGCCTGAAGAATGGCTCGGTACTCCTGCTGGACGCGTCTTCGGGGAAGCTCCCCGCCGGCCATCAAAGCTTGTGGAAGAAGTTTGATTATCGGTATGACAGTGCAGGGAAATGGAGCTGGGCGTTTTAGGGTGGCGTTGATCTTGTCTGACGATATTCTTGTTACTGAAGCTCGGATGGGCCAATGATTCTCAAATTGCTGTTATTCATGTATTTTACCTTCTGTCAAGTGTGTATCATACCCTACTCGATTGGTCTTTCAGATCGAAAAAGAGCGTAGAAATGCGCTAATATATATTTGCAAACGGGCTGAACGAGCTTTATACAGCACAGTAAGTACTATTTATATATTACAATGGAACACCTGTCCATGAGCCGATGCACGAAACATACTTTTCAGCGGGGAAGCATTAGCGACTGCCATCCGTGGCAATTGGTTTGAGCCATTAAGCTGTAAAGCAAATCCGTCGACACCGTTGACGCCGATGCGAAACTGCTGGCAGAACCGAGTTGAGGATGAGCTCTACTCCATCAAACAGGTAGCTGCCTGGTCCCGCGATGGCGCAGCGCGCGGTCCCTTGGGAGCGCGCTTTGAAGTTCTGTCTCCAGGCAGAGATGTCTTGCACCACTTCGCTCCAACTTGGTTCAGCACTGTGGATCCGGTTCGAAGTCCCTGCTCCAGCAGGAACATTCTCTTCAATTCCGCCTTCATCCGGTTTCTCGCTCAGCGCTACCTGGTCTGCTGGTCTGACGGCTTGGTCTCCGAGCTTGCCGCGGGAGTCTGAGGCTTCATTTGACTATCCCCCGATTGCCCTGCTTGTCCACTGGTCCTGCGTATGTCCATCAGCATACGGCTAACTCATGTCTAAAATGCAATGCGTAGCGGCTCGTCGCGGAGAGTGGAAGAGCGAGACATACGGTTGAGGCTTGCGCTTCTCGATTTGCAGTTCTTGTAGTGCGGGTTGGAAGGTATAGTAGCCTGAGAGGAAAATCCAATTGTAAGTTTGTGGGTTCAGCAAGTTGAAGGTCGCAGGATCGTACCGGTCAATATTCCCATGCCGATGGCTAATGCCGCGGGGATGAAGTTGCGACTCATGTTTCTGATGGTGATGGTGCAAGCGGCTGCTGGTAGGTCGAACGAACTCTGATGTCGTAGTCAGAATAAGTTGAACAAATTATGACAGATCATCTATGTCTGTAGAAACTCCGAACAAGAAACGTGCAGGGCAGCCAGAGTGACTTAGGCCTAAATGGCACTTTCATGGCCAGTGGTTCCAGGCTCTAGGCTCCCACTGCGGAACTGCTCCATACCATTAACCCACTTACGATTTCCGCCTTTTGGGAACAACGCGTCTCCACGCATTTTCGACGCGTCTAATCAACGAACAACTTTGTTCGACCAAAATTCACCAATCCGACATAGACGCTTGGTCTTGACCCTTACGTATTTGCGTTTCTTGTCGTCGGTTCTCATCTGCATCGGTCGTGGGAATTTTGGACGAATTTCACAGCCGCGGACGAAGCATGGACAAATAGGGAAATGGGCAAGCAGCGCCAAGGTCACAAATGGAATCATGGCGGGAAAGAGGGTTTGTACCGGACTCGGACTCGGAGGTTGAATTTGACAGTCAGGAATCAAAGGTGGTGAATTGGAGGGTTGAGGATGGTGATGGAGGGATTGAAGAGGTTGTTGCGCCCAATGCGAAACATACTGCGCCGGCGGCAGCACACGATGAGGCAAACGAAGGAGGATCGGATGGGGCTGGTGACAATGGTACCGAAAAAGCTCAGAATGTGGTACTGGGCTCGAAGGATAACGAAGAAAGCACGCCCAACATTGATAAAGCAGAGGAGGATGCTACGATGGTGGATGTACGGAAGAAGACATCTCAAGATGATTCTAGCTCTGTTCAAGGAAGTCAGAAAGATCCGGCAGGTCAGAGTATGCCTGGTGCAAGAGAGGTGGCCGAGTCTTCGTCCAGTTCAAGTGGTGTGACCGCCACGAATCCCAGCACTCCATCAACGCCTCGCACCCAACCGCAGGCCGGGATATGGGACATTCCCAGTTCCCCGGACGAGTTACAGTTCGATTTGCAGCCATCCCGAAGACGGATTACTTACTTTTCAAAAAAGAAGGACCCGGAAACCCAAAATAACTCATCGACTATCAATGAGGCTGAGACGCAGCTGGTGAACGAGAATGTCAATATCTCTCCTCTTTCTTCTCCTCTCTCATCCCTTCATTCGATACCTCTGGGTGAAGATGACGACAGTTTGCGAGATAGGCAAGAGGGGCAGAAGGAGACAGAGGCAACAGAAACCCAAGCTCCCCAGAATCGAGAGGAGCCACTGCTGCCTTTTGAGATTCCGGACCATATACTACAGGAGATGTCACAACCCATGCGCAGGTCATTGAGACAGCGGAATCCTATCCAATTACACCCATACCTGCTCGAAGATGCGAAGTACCGGAGTCTCATGAAAGCCAGAGGCCTGAAGCCCGTACGGGTACCTCACAATCAAGCTGTACATGACACAGCCGACGAGAGCCAAAGCAAGGACTTCGAGCCTCCGTCAAGCAGTCCCGTCGAAGACTTTCAATTTCCGCCATCATCTCCAGCAACGGACCCTCCGTTGCCTGATAGATACGTTCACGAGGACTCTCTACATCGGCGAGGTCGTTTAGACCCCGAAGGCCATTTAGCGAACAGACCAGATGCTCGTCCTTCAAAACGGCGCAGGGTATCCCGACCTGAAGATGCTGAGCGACTCTCTCTGAAACATGCGCCCCAGCCAAAGGTGGTCATCTGCCGATCTCCTGCACGTCCTGAAAATAACTCTATCTTCAACATACCAAGTCCTCCACGCTCAGGCAGCATCTCCTCCACGCAAACCAGTCAGCACGCCGAGGGATTCCGTTTCCCACTTGGATTCACGCCACCGACCTTAACTACGCCGGTTACGGAGACTCGAGTCAATGGACGCAATGCTATTAATTCTGACATGACGGACTGGTTGGCCGGCGCTGACGACCAGGTTTCTGTGGACGGTGAAGCCACTAATCAGAGCCAACCAAACACCGACGTGGACGAGGATGCACCTGAGGAAGATGATGAGCTAGCCGCAGCGAGGGCTCTACAACGGAAGATCAGAGGTGTGCTACCGGCATCTTGGCTGCGACTGGACCAAAAGAACCAGAGACAGGAGAATCTCCCTTCCACGCAGCGACAGCGTGAGAGATTCGCATCCCATCGAACAGAAAACGCTAAGGGCGTTGCCAGGAAGATCACGAAAAAGAATGATTCTAGGATGGATTCAACTGCTAGGGAGCCATTGGCATCTTTAAGTCATCTTGCGGATGATGACAGTGGTGAGAGTAGTGGGCCAGAGGAGGACATGCCTGCAGTGGACGCCCACAAAAAGCTAGCTGAGTTATTCAACCTCGACTTGCCGTTTGACGACGATATTGCCGGAGACGACATTCCTGAGTCTGATCACATAGACTACATGTTGCCCCCAATACCTCGGGGACCAACAGGCCCACGAAGTCGAAAGCCGGACAAGAAACGCCAGAGGACGGAAATAGGTGGCTCACACTCGCATAATCGCAACAAAAGACCACGATTAAAGCGACAGACAAGAATTACCGATCCAGAATATGGAGCCCGAAAGGAGAGGGAAGGGACGCGCCGTCTCCCTAGACTAGGCATTTTAGACGCACCAGACGTTGCTCATCAGCCTCGAGAAGAACAGCCTCAATTCTTGAGGGTGGCTGCGCGAAGAGCACGTTCCCGCAAAGATATGGGCAGGAGAAGCCCATCCCGCAAGTTCATCAAGCTGGGATCGCGACTGGACACGGAAGATGCTAACAAGGCATTGGGCGAGTGGCGGAAAGGAAAGCTCCGGCAGACGCAATTGCCTCAAGTACAGACCAAGCTTTACGCGCGACCGCCATTGTTGGATCGCCCTGTCAATCAGTCAGCCGTCATTGCCAATCACAATCCTCATTCAAAGGAGAGAGGCTTCTTGCCAGATCCCAAGAGGACCGCTCAAGTTGATCTGACCGACGATGCTCCTGACGAGACGCGTCCAGATGTCCCAGCTATCGCACCAACCACAGAAAGGGACATTTCACCGCGTCCGAAGCCTGCGTCTGGGCAGCAAGGTAGGAAATGGGTCATTCATCGAAACTTTGCCGTTTCATCTCTGAAGAGAAACGACCCACGCCCAGCGGAACCCGAAATAACAGACGCAAGCAGGAACTCTGCTTCACCGTCGCTCTTCCAGAAAACACTTGCTCAGCTGAATCGAGACTACCGGCACAAACACCCGACACACCGGAGTTTACCCCTTGATCGCTACCTCGCAAACAATCCCACGCCCTCTCTCCCAACCAGGGTTCAACCAGATGAGATCCCGAACGCGGCCACTGATGCGTCGCCTACGCCTCCAGGTCATACTAGGCGACGTAAGTTGAAGAAACGACCGCCGCGGCGACTGGACCTTGCTGCACTCGATGGTCAGGAAGTTGACACTCGAGATTCTGTCACTATCATGCCGGCAGATGGTGTTGTTCTGGAAACCTCGCGTTCTACAGTCAGCACTGGCAACGGTCTAAAGTCTTTTCGGCGCACCTACACCGTCGACTTCGACGTCACACCTCTTTGCCCTGGCACATTCTTCCATGAGTCTACGTTTATAGGGAGTGGCCAGTTCTCCCGCTCTCTCAAGGTTGAATCGCGCAATATGGATGTGAAATCTGGTCTATCTCGCATCAAATTCAGAGACCAGTGTTTTCGGTGGGGTCCATGGAACGACACGGTCTCTTCTGAACTCGGCCAAGTTTTTGATGTTATGATTGAAGAGATGGAGACGAACGCCGCCTCTGAGATTTCAACAGGCATTGATCAAGAAACGGCCTCACACGACGTTTGTGCATTGTACAGGTCGTTGGTCCAGTACGTCACAGAACATCTGGCGTTTGAGGATCCGATCGATAGGATGGGATTTGTCAAACGAAGCCAGAGTCTCATTACAAAACTGAACGAGCAACTCGCGGCGATGGTGTTGAGTGATGAGCGTCAGAGGGATTATCTCACTCGGTTTGCGTCCTACAATCTTGTGTTTGCGAGCCAAGCGTTTCAGGTAGCTTGCCATGCTCTTGTTGATGGGAAGACCGCCCATGAGATCTCAGATATGGTCAAGATTGCTGCCAGACGGGTTCTGGGCTTCATTGCAAGTCGGACGGCACAGATACAGATGCGCGCGTTTCTTCAAGACAACAAATCTCCTACAAAGCGTGAAGCGGGCATCCAGGCGGACCAATCAGTCATCGAGGCCTATGTGATTATGCGACATGTTTTGCAGTCCATGGATGAACTCAAAGGGTGCTTCGGGGAGTTGATTGCTGAGGCCTACCTGTCAGCTGGAGGGGATACGAGTAACTCAAGAGATATCGATGGTTTCGAGAATGGATGGCAAAGCTTGTTCACCTCGTTGCCGCTCAACGAATTTGATTCTTGTGGTTTGGTCAGAATTGGAGCACGCTTCCGGGAAGCCCATGATAACTGGTTGATGGTGAAACGATTGCTCTCACCCGTTCTCGATAACTACGACATCAACGCTGAAACGCAACCAATCTCATGCAACAATTACTGCAGAGCTCTTTTCCGAAGATGCTACCACCTCATCAATGGTTGGGGCTGGCGAGATTGCAGGCCGATAATGCAACTCCTGTATGACTTCTTTGCGAAAAGGCATCTCTATGATCTGAAGCTCGAGGAGAGCTACAAGTCTCCTTCTTTTCTCGATGGACTCGACCGCAACCCTTCCTTTGATGTCCAACCTGGCGACCCGTCTTATCATATCTTTTTAAAGATTCTGGCAACCGGGCTGCGATTTTTGCCATTGTCCTGTGACAAGAAACAGATCCGAAATTTCGCTTGGCGACTACTACCGAATCACGATGGAAGATATCCCAAGGAAAAGCCCATTTCTCAATCGGACTTGGATGCCGTAAGGAACCATCATGATCTTCTGTGTACTCTTTACTTTGCTGTTCCTGATGGGTGTCGTCCCCGACTGGAGATCATCAAG